CTTTCCCTGCCCAGTACAGAACAGTTGTGGAGTGACCCCTTCCACTTCACACTACCTCACTAGAGGCTTTTCTCGTCCTCTGTTATTTATTGTTGCATGAACATTCCACCACAGATAAGAAAGAAAAAAGGGCTGTTAATAATCACGTGCCCATGTGTAACAGCAATGCATTATACTATATAGAGGAGCTGTGGTAATACAAGTGGTCTAGGATGGGATTCCTTCTTGGATTAGAGAAGCCTCACACTACGGTGCTGTGATACTTGCTAGTGCAGAATCTGGGTTTTTTTCAGCCGCATAACTGAGTTGGTTTGCTTCCTCATTAAAATGAGTATCTTGTCAAATGCCAGGCAATCCAAAAACACTATAAGAGATGGTTCTGCTAGTTTTTGTTGGTTTGTCTTTTTTTCTTTAGGATGAGGTAAGTTTACAAAGATGATTTTGCTGCAGGTTTCAGGGTATTCACTGTTTCACTTAAAAGCCTGGCATGAAAATAAATGATTAGATGGTTATCTCAGTTTTCATTAAAATGAGGAATCTTTTTTTCTCTTGCTTTAAAAAGACAGAGAGGGAAAAGCCTAAAGATGAGACTGGTACCATGTAATAATGCTGTAATAATGGCCAGGACTCTTGTGTGTGTTTATCTATATAAAGTTATTATAAGCACAGATAAACTTGAAGAATAAAAGGGAAGATCTTCCTTAGGATGGTAAACATATTTTGAGACAAAAATATTTTTGTATATTCTAGGGCATTGGTAAACCAGCAATATTTTCTGTAGCATTGCTGAACTGGGGATAAAGAGATGGGTTAACATTTTTTTCAGGAGGGAAAAATAAATACCTAAGTAAAAATGGCAAAAAAGAGGGTGTTTACATCACTTAGCTTCAGGATAAAATATATAAGGTGTGAAGTGATAGAGGTGACTAATCCCACCCTTTATTTTCATCTGTTTCAAAGTCAGGCATTCGAGTCCAGAATCCAAGACAGCTAAATGCTGCTGTTGTTGGAAGAGAGAGAGAACTATCCCCAGACAATAACTGGTGTCACCTTTCCTAGATACTTACTTAAGATTTGGAAGAATCAGCCCTGGTACTTTCTATTTTCTCCATTGACTAGAGAGAGTACACAGCGAGATTTAATAGGCGTTTAACTTGTAGATGCCTTTGTTAGATGAGATGAAAAATGTCTAATAGTTGCCAAAAGCTAAGAGGATACGTCATTCCTATTGGTACAAAATGGATGTGAAGAAAGAGACAAATCACAAAATCTGATGTAATGTAATTTATGTGATGAAAAGCAGAGAATGGAGTGACAGCTATTTACATGGCGTAACACTTAAACATATACAGCCAAGGGGTCAAACCGTATCTGCTGCTTCCCTGGTAACACACATCTGGACACTTACAGGTATTGAGTTTCCTCCTGCTAGAAAAATTCAGCAGTGAGGTTGCACATTCAGTCCTATATTTGCTGTAATGTTCACTCCCAGCAAAGAAAGGCAATGATGGTGAAGAGGAAGAGGAGGAAGATGATGAAGAAGAGAAAGCTGGGATTGCTGCTGCTAACCTTTCATAAGGATCGTCCTGGCCTCTGCCCATTCTGTTCTTCCGTCTGTTGTCAGCAGGCCAATTGGAGGCAGCATTTCCTCTTCATTCTCTGCCATTTTGGCTATCTTTCGTAACTGAGTGAAAAGATCTCCCTCACTGAGACGACGGAAATTAATGACAACATCCAAAACAAAAAACTGCAAAAAAATGACAGAAGTCAGAAGAACAGTCACAGATGGGTTGGACCCTTACTAGTCCAGCATTTTGCTTTTGCCTGGGTAGATGTTGAGATGCTGAAGTCCTGCCTGGAGAGCGAGGCCTGCAGGCAATGGAGCACAGGAACACTGGGGACTGGCCCAGGGCTCACCCCTCCTGCGTTTTTTTTTATACCAGTGTAATGCCAGTTGTTATGGGGGACTTACATTGTGTGCTGGGCTCAAATAAAACATACGTTATTTGAATAAGCCTAAAAAAACCTGAAGAGATAACATCAGGAAGTATGTAAATAATTTCCATGGTATTATTTGTTTAAAAATAACCTAGAGAATCTACAGAACTTCCCATTGAGGTGAAGAACAGGACTTCCTGGAAAAGGGACCACTGGGCTCTACCCCTTCATTCCAAGGGGGCCCACAGGCACCGCTCCAGTACTACAAATAGTCAAGCTGGGCTATAAGGTACTCTGCCCAGCCAATATACTCTGCTGCTTGACGGCATTTCTTAGTTGGGGCAGAGTCACTCTAACGCTTCAGTATTTCTGCCTGCACCCATGCTAACTTCTTCAGGCACAGCTTAGGCCCCCTCTACATGGGATGGTGGTATATATGCCATGCCTTGTGTGCCAATACTTGACTGTCAAGAGAAGAGCATTTCCAGCAAATGCACTCTAATAAGATTTTTTTTTTCTCTCTCTGTGGTTTCATCTCTGTTTAATAAACATTTCTGTTTGAATGAGAAAGCAAATGAATTCTGCCACATTCCTCCTTTCTGCATCACTGTACTTGGAACATAACGTGGGCTAAGGACAAAAATGCTGCAGAAGCATCTTTTGGAAATATTGACAGTGAATGTTTGGTAAGAAGTGAGCTCATACATAGCATGCTAATTGTGTTTCTGAACAGTGATTACATTAGGCTCTTCTTGAGTGAATTTAAGCAAACTAAGAAATATAGAAAGGTATAAAAAAAGAACACTCATGTACCTGATTGTTACAAGCAACAATGATATGCTCTGGTTCTGGCATTACACTGCTTTTCTGGGCCACGAGGGTATCTTTGGTATGTCCTGGAAGACGATAGGAAGAAAAGAGTCCATAGTATTGCTTCATACAGAGAGGATGACCAGACAGCTGTCCACGAGCAAAATCAACAGGTAAAGCATGGCTGGAGAGAGAGAAGGAGAAAAACAAAGCCAGAGGAAAAGAGGGGAGAGAGAGACAGAGAGGAAAAGAAATCTAATCTGTCCTTTGTTCTGTTACAATTAGATCAGGTATAACACAAATTGAATAATAAAACGAGATTACAGTATAAGGGAAATAGACGAATTCCCATACCAAAGTTAAATACATCATTCCTGGCAGCTTCATGCATATTCATTAAGCAATTGCATTATCGTCTAGTGGAAATGGAAGGTATAGCAGGGTACAAGCAGCTTTGCAACGTGCATGGGAAGCCTGCCTAGATGGGACCCCGGAAAATTGCCAGGACGGAAGTCAGTAGAACAGCCGGAAAAGACATAGCACCTTGAAAAAAGTACTGATTAAATTCACTGCAAATGACAGTGGTCCTGTGCTGTGCAGAGTGGTTGGAGACTGTGTGAGAGGGCCTTGCCTGATGAACAGGAATGGCTGGGGCAATACAGAGGGTATTTCTGCTTTCCACAGAGCGCCTCACTCCTGCTAATCCTTACTTAGACCTATGGTGGAATAAGTGCTGAAGACCTATTCCCTTTTTGTTGGAAGGCATATGAAAACAACACCTCCTAAAAGGCTTCTTTAGTGGCACAAGAAGACCTTGTGGTGCAGAGGTTTTCCCTCAGCAAAAGAGGACTAAGCTTCCAGCCTGCCAGAGAGGGGCAGGGACAAAGAAGCACACACATAGAGTTACTGTCATACAGCTGATACGGGGTAACGTTTTATGCTAGTTTTTCTTGTTTAACTGTCTCTTTAGAACTGTTGCAGCTCTAAACCAGGGATATTCACTTTAGTTCCTGGCTCTCAAACTCTCTGTATCACTTATTTCCTTGTACAGGTGCTTAATTTTTTTTGTTCCTTGTCAGCAAAACAGGGTTATTAGTGTTCTCCTTCTCCCGTGTTTCGCATCATGCAGAAACCCTCTTATATTTAACAGAGCTTTAAAGAGCATCTACGATGATTGAAAATAGTAGAATAGCATGGTAGATTTAGATAAGACAATCTGTAATTATAGCAGCTAAGAAAGGGGTTATTAACTCTGAATGATGGCACCAGAAAATCTTGTACTGATTTAGGAGATGTTTGTGTAAGATCTTAATAACTCTTTTATGTGAGCAAGTTAGGTTTTGTTTGAAATATTTAGTCCTGGCAACTACATGGAGTATCTGCACAGTTCGAACTAAACGCCTGGGTTTGGGCTGGAATATTGTGCATCTGCATGTCGGATGATCCAAGAGAAGCTAGCAGTACACTGGCTGGTAGAAGTCCTTGACAGCAACAAGGAACTGAAAATGTTACAATTATGGTGTCCCTGTAATTATACAGGAGGGGTGATAAGAAAACAGTAATAACAATATGAGGACACAGTAGTGAGGTTTCAAATAATAATTGATTTAAGGCAAGCAAATTTGATCACAGGAGTCTTTGTATCTACAGTAGTGAGGTCAAAATAATAAGAATTTAAATTATCCTTTGAGCAAAGTGGTTTCTTTATTTAATCTCAGATGCTGTCATATAAAGGTGCAATGAACTACATTAGCATGCAATAGTACTTCACAGCATGCCAGTGCTGGTGTATGCAGTTGCACGACATATCTTGGATGAAAGCACGTGCTCTTAAATAAGTACCTCTTCTATACTTTCTGAGTAGCTGTCAGACTTTTGAAGTGAAAAATCAAACAGCCTCTTTGTCTTTCTTTTATCTAATTCATAAATGATAGGGACTTTGTTGTTTGAATATGGACTTTGCCTTCCTCATGCAAATAAGCGTTGGTTAAAGCATATCACATAGGCCTCTTGTATTTCCAGACAGGAAAATGACCCCGTCCCTACTGTGGCATGGTGTCCATTGTGCTTGGCTCTCCACTGTTTCTATCCTTCGGGGAGCAGTGATTTCAGCAGTAAACTTGGAACATACAAGGTTAGGTTAAGAAGTACTATGTAAAATGCTGCTATGAGCTACTTCATAAATGACAGAGTCATGGATTTTCCCTGTGTTTATATACAGAAAGTAACAATGGCATAAGTAACTTCTTATTTTTACTAGCCACTCACCCAGCCTGTCTGTGGTGAGGCTTCCTTCTCCTGGTGGGATGTGTTATTTCTTTTCTGGGGGGAGGGAGGCTGATGTTCTAAATGGGGGGTCCAGTACGTGGTGTGGCACCCTGGCAGGTGCCCGGTGCCAGGGAAGGCGTGCAGGCTGTGTAACCGCAGCGCTGCTGCTCTTTGGGTCTGGAGAGAACACACTTGCTGGTGTGTTCTCAGTAGCTCTGTTAGGCAAATTGCATGTGTCCTCTGGGCTGCACCGTGTGTGCTAGAGTGATGACTACCAGGCATCAAAAAGGATCCTTCTCCAACCTGTTAGATTGCAGTAATAAAGCAGAAAGCGCATAAAAATCTGCTGAAGCGCTTGCTCTGAAGCATGCTGGAGCCCCAGCCCTTCCAAATGGTGGAGAGGTGCAATGCAGCCTGACTTTGGGCATGTTAGAGCACCCTTGAATCAGAAGCACCCTGCGGTCACTCAAGCAGCAGCTCCCCTTCCAAGCTACTTACGTGTCCAGTAAAGCTTTATAGTCTTGCACTCCTGAAATGAGATTGGCGGCAAACCTGCAAGTAGCAGATAGAAGTGACATCAGTCTTTTGTCATTTGGCAACGCTCGGCTGTTTCTGAGAGACAGAGGAGAGCCTGAATGATTGATGACACAGCATAAGGACACAAAGTCTTCTGGCTTGGCAAGAAGAGCCCTCCGCCCCCACCCAAAACCTAAATTAATTCATGTCAAGAGAAATATGAAATCCTAGAGATGGTCCCTTCAAATGGTTAAACGGACTAGCACAGGAGGAAGCCTGAAAGCATTTATTTAGAGAATGGGAGCAGAGGCTGAATATTTAATAGAATCCTTAACATGGGTTTCAATATCAATACTCATAAACTGTCCAATTAATTAGAGTACTTCCTGTCCTAAGCAGATATTCTTTCTGCAGAGCTGTGGACAGGTGTATTATTTCCTGATACTGCCCATTTGCACTGTGTCTGAATGGGAGGCGCTGGGAAAAATATTTCCTTGTTAAAGCACGTGCATTAGAAAATGCAAAGCGGAGTTTTTTTGAAAGCTGTATGCATAATAAATTTAGATGGTAATGAATGGAAGCATTTATAGTTATGTTTAAAGTAAAGTAAAAAGATACATTGGCTGTCTATGCAAAATGTTAAAATAACACATATTGGCTTCAAGGTTCTGGCTGTTTTATAATAGCATAAATTCCCATGCAATTAATTCTTTCAGTAATGAGCAGCTAGAGAGTGCTAGAAGCAAAGAGGAAAATTGCACTATAGGAAGGTAGATTTGATCTGATTTACTGTTTTAAAAGGAGGAAACGTTTTGGCAAAGGCTGAAGAATGGAATCCTGTTTTAAGGGTGTCTGGAGAGATATATTATGTACTTGGCTACTTGCTTACCTTTTCAGTTTTTAAATGATAGTAATTGCCGACAACAGCTCAAAGGAGAAAGGTCAGTTCAGGGCTGGGAAGGGTGGGTCTGAAGGAAGCAGTGCTCTTGGGGAGGAGTGATTTCTGAATTCTTATTCTTAGATCCTCTGTGTTTCTGGTGCCCTTTTGGGCACCTGAGAGGGACAATTTAATGCCAGCGTGGCCTTTTCAGTTTGCAGGCTGGCTATGAGTCATAGTGATGGCGTGTTAAAGATTCTTTTCCTTTAAACAATGTGTCAGAAATTAGTATATCTTTTTTCCATCACAAAATGGTTTACTTGAATTATACAATGAAAAGCTTTGCAAATACTCCTTTAAAAAATTATAAATCCCATGGCATTTTTTTTCCATGCAATAAATGTAATAGTAATGACACTTTCATTTCTGAGTATCAGTATGAGTAACCCCAGAAACGCTGCCCTCAGTCAGCAGGCCTAGTAGGAAATCATTTAATGGTTACAGCCCTTATTTTTTAATGAAAGTTGATTGTCTTTTTGCAAAAGCAGTACATTTAAATATCCTTTCATTTAGCAAAAGCTGCAAAGTCGTAGTACATTACCTCAGCTGGTCATTTACATCCTTGAAATACTGACGAGCAAAGATAATTGCTGGGCTGGAATTGACTGGAAGAGCTAGCCGGTTGTTGAGGTACATGTCATCCAGCCAGTAGTTAAACACCTAAGGGAAGGGGACATGAAATCTTAAAGCTATGAACAACATGCGGAAAGGCAGTTGGTGGGTGAGGGGAGAGTGCTTGGTGCTCCTGGTGTCAGGCATGGGCTCTGATTAATGGAGCTGCTGAGCATTTTCAGCCTGAGCTCTGTGACCTCAGCTCAGCTGAAATCAGCCGCAATTCCATAATCCTATTTTTCAATCAATGGCAATTTACAGTGTGTTCCATTAAAAAGTAAAGAAGCTCCATATTGTGGTGGTTTGGGTATTTTGTTGTTTGCTTCTCTCCATAATAAAAAAATGTTTGAGTACAACATGCTAACTGATGACTCTTGAATAGTGATTGGGATATATTTAAGAGACAGACAGATTTTTTACTAGCAATGGCTTTCCTCAGGGGGCTTCAAATATTTGTCAACAATGCCAAGAAGCTCTGTTGTTAGCCATCAGACACTGTCCTGTAGCAAGACAGAGTGGGCAAAGAATTTCCTGAGCCTAATGGTTCGGTCCTGCAGATACTGGCACGTGGATAGGGCCCCTGGAGAATTCCCTCTGTGTCCACCGGCACAAGTGCAGATTACTGACGCTTGACCCAGACAGACACACTTATTAAATTTCTAACCATTTTTATTGAAAACACAGGTGTACGGTAAGCGCATTCCTTTATGTCTGAGCAGAGCTTGAAGAATCATTATCTGGAAAATGGAGGCTTTCACAAAAAGATCAAATGGTCTTTCTGAGTTTAGCAGGCATGCTTTGCATATAGTAACTATAAAAAACAATGAAATTATGCAAAAATAATTACGAATGCATGCATCAGTTGAAAAAGTTTTCCTCTGAGATGTTTCATTGCTGTTAGAACAGATGCTTCCCCCACAGTCTCTGGAGTCTTCAGGAGAACAGGCTAGAGCTGTACTCCTGGCAAGTTAAATTCCAAATAAAAATGTTTCTAGTTTATCTTAAGAATCAGGTATTTAATTGTAACAACCAGTATTTAAAGTTGAGATGTTTCAGAAAACACTTATACATCCTTCCTCTGTAATTTTCACGCTTTAAGTGGTTAAATGAACAGTTGTCTCCTGGAACATTATTTGTTATCAAGAGCACTATTTAAGTGATGGTTAATTTAGCCACCAAAACCATGGAGTTCTATGATCAGAATAACAGAAAGAGATTGAGCAGCATTTAGTGGAGCCCTCAGACTGTGGCAACAAGTGCTTCAGAAATTAAGCACTGC